AACAGAACACCAAAGTGGGCTTGAGGAAAAGAGATTCTGCAGAAAGACCTTTGGAGCAGCATAACAGAGCGACCCCCAGGACAGGTTCAGACTGATGTCCTGCGCTGACACCCAGTGCTAGTGAGCCAAGGATTTCACTGTCCACAGCCTTCACGCCTACGGAGTGAGCCGTGATGGCTGCTGCACAGGTGCCTGCGAGGGTCAGTGAGATGACGCAGAATGCACGGTGCCACACAAAGACCAGGCGCTCTCAGTGACGGCTGCTATTACTGAAAGATGCTTGTGGGGTCCGGGGGCTAGTTCCAGCTGTCCTATTAGTTAAATCTGTCACCTGAGGCATGTCACTTCACCTCTAGAAACACCTGGACAGTCTTCCTTGCTCATCACCTTGAAGGAGGCTTGGGATCCCACTGTGACTTTCACCAGGGATTTACGGGCTCTAGAAAAATCCACTTACTCTTATTTTAAATTTCTCTTATCATTCAGATAACATTTCTCTCTTCTTTCTTTCATTTTGTTAGAAGATAGAGTCTTACTCTGTCAACCAGGCCAGAGGCATAAACACTGGTCCCTGTAACCTCAAATACCTGGGCTCAGGCACTACTCCAGCCTCAGCCTTCCACGTGGCTAGGACTATATGCATGCACTATATATGACACCCAGCTAAGTTTTCTGCTTTTTGTAGAGATGAGTCTTGCTATATTGTCCAGGCTGGTCTCCAACTCCTGGCCTCAGTGACCCTCTCACCTTGACTTCCAAAAGGCTGGGATTGCAGGTGTGAGCTACTACATGCTGTGGGATTCAGATAACATTTCTATAGACTAGATGGCACCTTATTATACTGTCACACATCTAGAAGCCTTTAGATCACAGAAAATGACTCTCTCCTTCCCCTTTGGTCTGTCTTTATGACATCACCTTCTGTTTCATTTCCTTCATCACACTCTTCTGTCCAACAGGTTTTCTATTCTATTTTCCTTTAGAAGGCAAGGTGTGGGCCAGATGGCACAACTATAGGAACACAGAGAGTCACCAGGTCGAAGTCTCCCATGGTGAACTTCAGATCACTGTTTGAGAGAATGCCCCTATAGGAAATCAAGCTCAAGAAAAATATCATTTAGAGATGCTTACCTTCATGATGATGCCTCTTAGCATAGGACACAGACTCCCCTTCATGCTGTGCATGGAACTTCTGAATGCACCTTCTCACCAGATCCTCCCAGCCGGGTTTCATGGCTGCTCTCATGGTGCTCGTGTCCAAAGAAGTGATCTTGCCTATTAAATAACAGTAGGCGTTTTACCTGCATATTGATCTATTCTTCACGGAAATCATTCATTTTCTTTATTTAAGAAAGGTGACACAAGTTGGTATCCAACCAAATCCCAAGTTGGACAGCCGAAATGTATCCGGTAAGAATCACTGTCTCTGTTGCTTGTGCCCCCCGTCCTCTCTTCCAACAGCTCCTCAACATTTCCACCCCAACAGCAATCACGAGCCCAGGCTTCTTCACAGTCACAGAAATATAGTTCTAGAATAATACATAAGTATCCTAAAATGATTTCTTTCATCTTCTTTGGAAAGAAAATTTACCTTGGGGATCCTGGTGAGTAGTATCATGACTCAGAAATGAAGCAGGACTGCAAATCTTAAATCATACATATTTATGTTTACCATATTGGTAACATGGGCTTTCCTTTGTGACTCAAACAGATTCAGATGTGTTTATGACAGCACAACCTTGTGAATCAATGAGGGAAACGGGGACCAGACACTATGTACTTTAGCTTCTCATTGGTGGGAAACGGGAGAGGGAAGAGAGGAAGAGTGAGGGGAAGGGAGAGAAGGGGGAGAAGGGAGAGAAGGGAGAGAAGGGAGAGGAGAGGGAGAGGGAGGAGAGGGGAGAAGAGAGGGAAAAGAGGAAGGAGAGGGAGGAGAGGGGAGAAGAGAGGGAAGAGAGGGAGGAGAGGGGGGAGAGGGGAGAAGAGAGGGAAGAGAGGGCATCTGGAGTCCTAGCTATTCGGGAGGCTGAGGCAGGAGGATCACTGGAGCCCAGGAGTTTGAAGTTGCTGTGAGCTAGGCTGATGCTACCGCACTGTAGCCTGGGCAGGAGAGTGTGACTCTGTCTCAACAAACAAACAAATGAAAAAAAGGACTAGAAACCAGTGGAGTTTTGTCCTTAGAGCTCAGTACCAATGTTGTGAGGAAGCTGCGGACCCAGGGAGGAGACCTATGTAGGTTCTGACTTAGCCCCCAGCTAATATCTCAGCTGAGAATGAGCTTTCAGATAACTGCAGCCCCCAGCCTTTGAGTTTCCCCTCCAAGTACTACTAAAACTGCAATTTGTAAAGCAAAATATATGCCACTTTAAAATCATTCAATTTGACCTAGGCTGTGTGTGTGTGTGTCTAGGGAGAGAGGGACTGCACGATTCCTACTCTTCTGGAAGGCACCCTTCCATCCTTTACATCAAGCATCCAAATTATGGCCATACCAAAACTTGTTTTTTATAAAATATACTAATATGTACAAATATGTACAGAATATATATGACGTCTGACATTTAAGTTCACGAATTTGCCCCTTGCCCTTATGTTGGCAGTAGTGCACAAACAGCTCAGTAAAGCTTCATAACCTTGGTACATGAGTATCTCACAGTTGTGTTTGTGTACACAAGTTATGTTCATTCTTGTTACATTTTTGTGTGTGCTGTGCAAGAATGTAAGAGCTTAAATTAGAGCAACAAACATTCCTAAATTTCTGGTTAAACCTGGCAAGAGTAGAAGTGAGATCATGTTAGTCCAAGTTTATGGAGATAAAATGCCATGAAGAAAACGGCAGTGTACAAACGGATTATAGGTTTTTCTGAAGGGAGATAAAGTATCACTGATGAGGAGCAGTCAGGGAGGCCAGTAACAAGCAGAACTGATGAAAATACTGCAAAATTCATAATTCATCAAATTATATGTCAAAATCATCAGCTGACTGTGAGCAACACAAAAGACCAAGTAAACATTAACAGAGAAACAAGAAAATCCTAACTGAAAATCTCCACCAACAACTCATGGCTCTTGCATCATGACAATGCACCAGCTCTCACGGCACCATCTGAGGTAGTTTTTTTGTTTGTTTGTTTGTTTTTAGAGAGAGTTGTACCTTGTTGCCCTTGGTAGAGTCCCTGATGTCACAGCTCACAGCAACCTCCAGCTCCTGGGCCCAAGTGATTCTCTTGCCTCAGCCTCCTGAGAAGCTGGGACTACAGGTGCCCCCCACAATGCCTGGCCATCCTTCCGTTGCAGTTTGGCTGGGGCCAGGCTCAAACCCACCACCCTCGGTGCCTGGGGCCGGCATCCTACTCACTAAGCCCAGATGCCGCCCCATCTGAGGTAGTTTATAACAAGTAAACAAATTAACTATTAGAATATCCTTCCTACTCAGCTGATATGGCCTCCAATAACTTTCTTCTTTACCCAAAGACAAAGGAAATATTGAAAAGAAGACATTTTGATGGCATTCAGGACATCAAGGGTAATACAACAGGTTTGATGGCCATTCCAGAAAAAGAGTTCCAAAACTGCTTTGAAGGGTGGACTAGGTGCTGGTGTCAGTGAACAGCTTCTAAAGGGCAGCACTTTGAAGGTGACCGTAGTGATAGTCACCAATGAGGAACATAGCACTTTTTCAAGGGTGAGTTCCAAAACTTAACTATCAAACTTTATTTCACGAGTTTTGACAAACATGTAACAAATGTGTATTTCTACTACACTATACTAAACATTTCCACGGTTCCGGAAAGTTCCCTCATAACCCTTTCAATGTGCCACTCCTACCCCAAGCGGCCATCTGTCTGATTTCTGTTACTACAGCTTAGTTTCTCCTGTTCTAAAGCTTGCTATAAAAGGAAACATACTGGCTGGGTAGTGACCACATGCACCGGGGCTGGCGGGTTCAAACCCGGCCCAGGCCTGCTAAACAACAATGACAACTACAACAAAAAATAGTTGGGCGTTGTGGCGGTGCCTGCACTCCTAGCTACTTGGGAGGCTGAAGCAAGAGAATCGGTTATGCCCAAGAGTCTGAGATTACTATGAGCTATGACACCATAGCACTCTACTGAGGGCAAAGTCTCAATCAAAAAAAAAAAAAAAGGAAACATACAGGATATATCTAATTTCTTTTATTTAGCATAATATTTATGAGATCCATCCTTATGGTGGTTATGTTCACTAGTTTGTTTTTCATTGCTAAATAGCATTACATTATACAAATATGGCAATTTATTCAATCATTTGCCCTATTGATGGACATCTGAGTTTTTTCCAATTGGAGGAAAGAAGACCACTGTGAACATTCATGTAAAATGTCTTTTTGTGGACATGTGCTTACATTGCTCTAATACAAATGCTTAGGAATATGGTAGGCATATTTTAAAATTTACATCACACTTCCTAAAAAACCAGCAATGTGTTTTCCAAAGTGAAATATTTAGAATGCTGACCAGTAAGGAATGAAAGATCTAATTTGTCTCCTGTTCTCCCGTATACTCAGAATTAACATTTTTCCTCTTAAATTTTAGCTACTGTATCTGACTGTGGGTTTAATCTGCATTTTCCTGATACTTTGTGATACTGAGCATCTTTTCCCATGTTTACTGTCCAGTCCACTTGAATATCTAATTTTTATGAAGTATCTAAGTCTTCTGACTGCATTTAGATTCGGGTTGTCTTCTTAAGTTGTAAGGGTTCTCTGTATTTTTTCTTTTTTCTTTTTTTGACAGTCTTACTTTGTCTCCCATGGTAGAGTGCCATTGCGTCTTAGATCACAGCAACCTCAAACTCTGGGGCTTAAGCAATCCTCTTGCCTCAGCCTCCCAAGTAGCTGGGACTACAGGCACCCGCCAGAACACCTGGCTATTTTTTACAGACAAGGTCTTGCTCTGGCTCAGGCTGGTCTGGAACCTGTGAGCTCTGGCAGTCCACCCTCTCTTGGCCTCTTAAATGCTGGATTACAGGCGTGAGCCACAAAGCCCTGCTATATAATCTTGATATGAGTCTTCAGTGTTGTGAATATTTTCTCTCATTCTGTGGCTTACCTTTTCATTCTCTTAGCAGTTTCTATAGAAGAGGAGATGGCTTTAATTTTGATGAAGTCCAAATAATCAATTTTTTGTTTTATACTTAGTGCTTTTTGTGTCTTGTCCAAAGAAATCCATGCCTACCGCAAAGTTGATATTACTTTATCATATGTTATGTTCTAAAGCATTTGTATAATTTAAGTTTTTCTATTTAAGTCTAAGAGCCATTTCAAGTTAAGTTTTATGTATTTTGTGAGAAAAAAGGTCAGATGGAAAAGGTTCATTTTTTACCATACCTGTATCCAGTTGCCTTAATTTCAATTTGCTTTGGTAGTAAGATCTGTTCTTCTTTTGTGTGTAGTTTTAATTATATCTAAAGTATCTGCTACAAAGGATTAAATCTTTTAACATTCGCCACAGCAAGTATGTTTCACTTAAGATTTCCACTTATGGGTGGTGCCAGTGGCTCAAAGGAGTAGGGCGCAGGCCCCATAACGGGAGGTGGGTGGCGGGTTCAAACCCCCAGCCCCGGGGTGGGGGTGGGGGAACTGCAAAGATTTCCACTCATTATCATAATCAGTTTTACAACAGTTAGGAGAACTATACCAGTTTCTAAAACATCCACAGAAGTCACATTCTCACCTCTATCTAGAAATCAGCATCTAGAATCTATAAAGTACGTGTTTTCTTTAAGTTGTCTGAACTGAAGGTCTGCGACACTAAACTTGTATTTATAGCCTTTCCAGACATTACTTTTAGTAGACTTTGGAGAGTAATATGACTAATATTCTTTCTACAGTATGCAATTCATAAACCCTTCTAGAACCCTTTAAAACAAAAAAAGAAATACAAAAACGAAGAATATCTTCTGTTTAGAAATGCAAGGTATATAGATAAAATTAGCTTGAGATAAGAAAGAGTACCAAAAGCTGAAGGTTTTATACTGTTTTCCTTAAATTGCTTTCACTGTTGGTCTGTAAGTACAGTCTTACCATTTCACTAGGGGAGAATTTGCTGCTGATTTCATGATTTACTGCAATAAAAGACCAATACCTTGAAGCAGAGACTTATTTCTCCCTCCTGTTCTCTTAATTTAAAATCAATAAAGCATGTAATAACATGTGAAATAAAACTATAAACACAAAATATTAAACAGCTAGTAATTTCTTAAATAGCA